GTCGGAGAGTTGCACTTAGATGTCGACCAGTCCGCTTCAGAAGCGCGCTCATTTGCCAACCGGGGCAAGGGCGCGGCGTTGGTGAAGTTTTGCGGATTAAACGATGTCATCAAGACACTCTTGAACTCGTCGTTGGTCAAGAGGGCGAACTGGTTGAACGGACTGAACTGAGCGTCGGGGTTGGCCAAGGCTGCTTCTTGGACGTCTTGGACAGTGTTGTGGAAGCGCTGAAGTTCTTCGACGTAATGGCCGTTGATTCGTGCGGAGTCCACAGTGACTGGGGGGAGGAATCTGTTGGCTTGTGCAACGGGGCCATACAACGCCTTCCACTTGTCCAGTTCATGCTCGAGGGCGGTTACGTCGGCCTTGCTGAGCGATTCGTACGATTGTCTGGCGGCAATTGCACTAGTCACGAGAGTAATGACAACACTGGCTTTCATGTCGGTTGTTGGATGAATGCAAATCAAGAATGACACACATGATCGGTGTGGTGCGAGGGGTTCTTGTAGCTCTGGCTAGGATTTGCGTACGGATGGTGTAGGATCGATGGTACGTCGAACTGTACCTCGTGGTGTGGAGGAAATTTCAATTGTGATCGGATTCGATACAGTGCAAACAATTCTTTTGCAAGTGTGAGTTCAATGTTGCTTGGGATGCTGACGTGAAACTGAACATGCTGTGAATGTTGTGATTCCTTCAGCCGGAAAACTCAGTATATTCGTGGTTGTGTCGTCAAAATTATCACGAGATATATTCTTTTGATACCGGTATTAGTTAGATGCATCCAGCGACTGACATGTCTTCAAGGATTGGCGAGGCGAGCCAGAAGCTCTAGGAGTAGGGCTAGCATGTTTTTGATTCCTTCAGCCGGGACAAGAAAGCAGTCAATTAGTTCAATTCCAAATTGAAATTTAGATTTTAAATCGAGTAGTGCATTCGTTGTTATGTCGTCAAAATTATCATGGCGCTTTACGTTCAGCTGCGTTTACGATGCATAACACGAAAGTTATGTCGAAATTACTACTGAAGATCACATGATATATTCTTTGGAGTCCGGTATTAACGTTAATGAGATGCATCCAGCGCCTTATAGCTCTACAAGGATTGGCGGGTCGAGCCAGAAGTTTAGGAGTAGAGCTAGCATGATTTTCTGATTTTCTGATTCGTCGAACACTATGATATTCATGGTTGTTCTGCATGGCGCTGCAGAAAGACCTATGAGCATTTTTAGAGGTCGGCTCATGGTCTCATGATCGGTGAGGCCGTTAGTCTCCATTATGTGCAGTAGGCCGCCATTCGTCGTGCGGTTGTAGCCATTGTCGTGCGGTTGAAAGATGTGCATTGTTGGCGCATTTTCATTGGACGAAATGATTAGACTTAAAATAGACCAGAAAAAGTAATTCGTAGTAAGAGACCTCAGTTTGCAATTTACAGTTAATTCGGCCTCCGCAAGAGGTTCCCGTCCGGATAACGACGGGAGCGAAAACAATGGTGCTCAGTTGCAAATTCGTGTTGGACGCCTGCCCGCTGGCGATTGAGATTTTGGAGCTCTCGCCAGTGGAGAATTTAGTGCAACAGGGTTGTCATACATTCTATTGTCTGTAAGATTCATATTAATGCTGCCGGCGTGCTTCAGGACGTCGGGATGGCATGCTTCGTTGAAGAAGTCCATTGGGACCTCAATCGCATAGTACTGTAAACGACCCAACAGATCTGTTGAGAAATCTGTGTTTATGGAGCGTTTACATCATGATGTAAAATTTATTGGCAACCGGTGTGGGTCTGAAAAATGTAAATTTTGCTGATGTAGTAGTCATGTACTTTGAAGATTTTTACATTTCTACATCAGCCGGTGGGGATGCTCTTAGTACTTAATGGAGAGCAAATATATCGATTTCAAGAGATGTACACACTTCGGTTTGAAATCAAAATGCCGCCAAGAACGCTGTATTATATTCATGTTGCTCGGTCGTTGTCCATTAGTTTTTAGTTTTTTGAAGAGCTACAGTAATAACGTTATGATTATAGACGAGGCTTGGATTACGTAGAACCTTGGCGTACGAGCTCGAAATATAATTGGCCCAATACGCGATAGAATCTTCTGGTCCCTCACTATTTTTGTACTGAATGACGTTAGTACAGTAGATTGTGAGCAAGTTCTTAATCCAGTGATGACGAATTCGTAACGTTAATGATTTTGTGTAGCCTTTTCATCTCAGAGGTAGTTTTACACAATTGGTTGGACTGGAAGGTGTGCCCCAAAGGGGGCATTCTAAACGATATGAATTGATACGCTTGCCCCGGTGCACTTGTGCCGGAGGGGATAGGAAATGGCTTGTACGCACTCAGGACCTCGACGGAGTTAGGAGGGTTCCGGCATCGTCGTCACAATAGTCGAAATTCTGTTTTCATTTGTAATCGTGTTTTCATCCTCACATATGAAAACACGATTATGAGTTTAGGAGTCGACGTGTTGAAGAGGGCAAGAACTGCCTTATACGTGGTACGGAACGAAGAGAGAAACGGGGCATGTTCCAATAACTTGTAGGTACGGGTACGACATTTCTTAGGCCAAGTTACACATACATTAAATTTCCACACCTCCCTGCAAGTAGGCATACCCACTGTCTCCAAACGGGCCCCGATGTTTTTTGGTCTTGAAATACTATCTCACCAAATTCCATAGCCGAGGCCAGCCCCTTCAAGGCGTGTTTAAAGTAGGGGCCAGGGTGTTGGCTGACGACGCCACTTTGCAGCTAGGATTTCTAACCTGAATTGAGCCGACCACAGGTTCCCACTTCCAATAAGCACACCTCTTTCACCCACAAAGCGTTCCGTAATTTGTTAATCAAGAAGTCCTCACGACCAACCCCTATGCGACGACTTAGGTCCGATGCACCAAACGCCCGAAAAGACCAAGACATCCACCACCGAAACATCTTCCCCGACGAATAATTACCGCTGATATATTCGGCTTGAATTACTGCGACCTGTGGTGCCTGTTCCTTGCGGTGCATCGTTTGCAGCCATCTACATCTACCCCGTGCGCAGTACCTGTTCATGTTCTGTGACTACCAATCTCCGAAGAATGTCGCCTCCACCGGGAACGGCTGGCCTGATGCTCCGACGCACCATCTCTTCAGAGATGCAATACGCAACCACTATGTCGTTGCTATCAAGACCACTGGCTGGTGCGTTGCGGTTCGCGGCCTACCCCCCGGAAATCACCTCGGTGTAGCGGTTGGGTCAGCATCTGAGCAACCAAGTGCAGGCAGCATGAACATACCGCGTGGCTGGACGAGGTACAGAATGCTGTCGGCGCCCAGACGGGACATGCCTACCAGCAGATGGTGCACCTCCACCATCAACGACAGCTGCATTCGCAGCAGTAAAATGGAAACCAACAATCGGCTGATGGTTGTGTATGACGAGCAGTGCCGTCGACAAAACGTCGAGCAGCTGCATGTAAAGAACAAGCAAACTAGGTCCCACGAGCAAGGTCTGCACCAAGCTACCACTGCGTCTATCAAGCACGGCGAACAGCTGGAAGAGATGCAACGTCGGACGAGCGTCCGTTGACATGCCTGCTCGGCGACCCTAGTGCCGGCTGTTGCAGCGCCCACGACTGTCCCCGCGGACGCGGGCGTCCAAGTCGTCTATGGTTTCCAAGAGGTGCCCAAGGCCCCGTCGTTCAACGGCAGCACCAAGGTGCAGATGCGCAAGTTCTTGGACCAGTACGAGACGTACGCCAGCGAAGTCAACATCGCCCAGCGCGCGCCGCTGAGCGTATGCATCGACCCGTTATCGGTCGAATGCATCGCGTACTGGGAGATCGGGAAGCTAGCCACGGGCTGACGGAGGAGGACTGGAAGGATTTCTTCCTTAGAGCCAAGGACTGTAATCCTGTGAACATTTCCAAGTGGACGCCACGATGGCCAAGCTCATGATGGAAACGAACGTGTTGTCGGCCGAGTCGCGGGTGTCGAAGTTGATCTCGGATTTCTAGGCGGTCTTCGTACGCCCCTCAATGGAGGGGTCTGCGTAGGCCGAGCCGAAACTAACTGTCGACTACCTCGTCGCGGCCATCCAGCCCACGGCTGTCCGCGCCTGTGTCAAGGAACGTATGAAGTTGAACGAGAACCGCGGGCCCAAGAAGGATGCGCGCGATATTAAGCGCTGGCTGGCGGACTACATCCACCGCTACGGCGAATTTGAGGCGCTGATGGCCACCCGCCACCGCCATGTCCAAAATGTTGCCAGCTGCGACCAAGACCCCCAAGGCTGGAAAGACCCCAAGGTCGTGGCTGTCGTGATCGTCGACAAGGTCCGAAGTCGAACTTCACGCAAGAGAAGTGTGCGTGTTTCAAGTGCCTGCACATTGTGTTTAAGTGCCCTAAGCTCGCTGACTGTGAAGCAAAGCTCCTGATGGAACGTGCTCGTTCCATCTGCCAAGTCGGTAACCGTCGTCAAGACAGTCGACGTTGTCGAGGTGTCCCTCGACAATGCCGCGATGTACGCTGCTCGCGTTCTCTGTGTGGCTGGTCAGGCAGTGTGGTGCCCCCCACGACGCTGGCCAAACTGAAAAAGCTAGGCCGTAACGTCCTCGTGACCGAGCTCAAGATCCCCATTAAGGTCAAGGGTTTTGTTGGCCCCTCCCACAGCGTTACCGAGGAAGCCACGATAGACCTGCGGTTCGAGACAGACGCAGGCCCCCTGATGCTCACGAATGTCAAGTGTTGGGTGTCGACAGGCGTCCTACCCGCAAATGTCGGCGACATCTTGTTGAGCCGCGCCATCATGTACTGTACAACTTGAGGTTCGACCCGCGGGCCATGCTGCTTGAGGCTACGTACGTAACCGACGCGATTGACATGGCCGACGCGGCACAGCGGAGTCGTGCAGGTCGTGCTGGCCCTGTCCCACTAGCTCGTGGATGACCTTGCAGATGAAGAGGAGGAGCTTTTGCCCCTGGAGATGGACTCATGTTTCCCCGACATGGTGGCCATCGATGCCGTCGCCATAACCCCGAAGGTCAATGTGGTGTTGGATGCGAAGGTGGTCGAGGCCGTGACGGCGGCTGTGGATGTGAGTTTGCCGCCAAGTTGGCCGCGCTCCTCGACAAGCACGTCGACGTATTCCATTTGAGTCTGGGCCGCGACTCACCCGTCAAGATGCCGCCGTTGAAGGTGCTGTAGGCTAATCGAGCGCGGCCGATAAGATGCAAGGCCCCTCGGTACTCCTGCCTCAGCCAGAATTCATGCAGCAGCATGTGAAGGAGTTGGAGGCAGCCAGTTTTGTCTATCGGAACCCCGCCATACGGTGGGCCTCAACCCCCCATGATCGTACGCAAGCCCCACACCAAGGACGAGTGCCGAACGACGGTGGACTTGTGGCCAATCAACAGCCAGATGGAGTAGATCGCCTGGCCGATGCCCATATTGGAGGTGGTGGTGGATCATTTGAGTGGCGCTGAGATTTATTTCCTCCTTGATTTCTTCAAGGGGTACTGGCACTTCGCCCTCGACCTCAGCTGCCAGGAGATGTTCTTCTTTTTGACCGACACCGGCGTCTATTCCTCCACTCGCGTCATGCAGGGTGGCAACGACAGCGTGTCGTACTACCAGTCGATGGTGCAGGAGATGTTCCCCGAGCAGTTGTACAAAGGCCTGTTGGCCTGGTTGGACGACCTCTTGGGGCACCATCGTACCCGCAAGGGATTGTTAGGTGTATTGGCTGACGTGTTGGCTGTGTGCGCTGACACGGGTCTGAAGCTGCACCCGAAAAAGTACAGTTTCTACGTGACCGATGCCAGGTAGTGTGGGCGCATCATCAGTGGGACTGGGGACATTCATGACCCCGCCCATGTTGAGGTGCTCCATCAACTGCCGTCCCCCGTGACTGGTGCTGACCTGCAGCAGTATGTGTGCGCCATCAATTGGAAGCGCATGAGCACCCCCCGCTATAACGTGCTGGTGCAGCCGTTGACCGAAATGCTGGAGCGGGTGTTTGCCTCTGATGGCAGTAAGAGGACCAAGCAGGCCGCCGCGGCCGTGCTGTTGGAGGACGTCGACTGGTCAGTCGTGCACGAGGATTCTTTGGCCAAGACCAAGGCTGTGCTTGGGAACGTAGTGGTGATGTGTCATCCTGACCCCCAGCAGCGACATTGTGTGTTTTCTGACGCGTCGGAAGGCCACTGGGGATCTGTGATCACACAAGTGCTGCCTGACCAGTTGCACCGGCCGATTGACGCCCAGAACCACCAGCCGCTCATATTCCTGAGCGGCACCTTCATCGGTGCAGTTCGTCAGCGGGCAATTGTGGAGAAAGATTCGTATGCAATCGTTTGGATGTTTTTCCGTACAGACTACCTCCTCCATCCCGCCGCCGGTTTCAATTTGTACACGGATTATCGCAACCTGAAATCTATTTTTAGCCCAAAATCTGTTGTGGCATCGTTGCCCAAGTACACGGCCAAAAGTTGGAATTTTGGGCCCTGCTGCTCTTGGGCTACAGTTATGTCATCCATGACATTCCCTGCGAAATCAACGTCTGGGCTGACCTGCTATCGCGATGTGGATCTACCCTGCCCAGCATCTGTGCCATTGGCCAGCAACCACTGCTGATCTCGCCGTTGTGGGACGAAACATTTGTTTGCCAACATTTGTGTCCATCACCGAAGCCCAGGTGGTCGCCCCCGATGACGTCTTGTTGACCAATAGCTGGACGCCATCCACCTGGTGGTGCTGGCGTTTGGCCAGGCATGGCCGTTACGTCTCGACAACGATGTGATCTGGGTGCCCGTTGCCGCTGCGGCTGTGCGGGTGTGCCCATGAAAGTATGGCCGATCACCGCACGGCCAAGGCCACGTTAGCCAGCCTGGAGTCGTTCTGCCAGTGGAGATCGATTTTTGTGTGCGTGGTGCCTATATTGCGCCAGTTCATCTGGCGATGCACTGTGCCCGCTTGGCAAGGTCCTTCATTCCCAAATGACTGATTCATTGCTACTTTGTGTCCATGGGCACCTCCAAGACTGGCAACAAGTACCTGTTGGTAGTCAAGTGTGACGCCAGCAAGATGGTCTGGTTAATCCCGGCTCTCAAGGCCACGGCGATATTCGTCAAGGACTGCGTGCTGCAGTGGTCCTCGTGTTTGGCGCGTGCTACGAGTGAGTCCGTGCTACGAGTGAGTCTCTGACCAGGGGACACATTTCAAGAGCCAAGTGATCGCGGAGCTCCAACATGTGCTGGGGTATCACCACCACATCACGACTGCCTGCTGTGCTGAAGTAGGTCCCCGTGTTCGGCGTGTGCTACGAGTGAGTCTCCGACCATTTCAAGAGGCAAGTGAGCGCGCAGCACCAACACGTCCTGGGGGCCCACCATCGCTTTACGACTGCCCGCTGACCATGGGTGAATTGCACAGTGGAGATCGTGTTGCGGCAGATAGCCCAGTTCGTAGTGGGGGGCTATATCCTCAACCAGGACATATAGGCTCACTTGCGTCTGAAGTTGGTGACCAAATGATACCGTCCAGCTGTCCTCATCAAAGTGGCCAGCAACTGGGTGAACAACGGCAAGAACCTGCTGATTCATGCCGTCCACCGCGTCCACGCCGACCGCGTAAAGTTCTATGCGGACTGTGACTTCGACGTGACGTCCGAGCTTCTCGCCACACATCGCCCTCACCTCAGCAGGATTGGAGATGGAGGCTATGGTGGACGTACGGTACGTCCCCACGACCAAGGAGAGGTTGATCAAGTGGGGCGGACTCCAAGATGAGCAGAACCCGCCGATAGCATCTATCCGTGATGTTCAGGGTGTTGTGCAAGGCGCCCAAGTCGGCCGTAATCAAGTAGATGGCCGTTGCTTTCGTGGTAAAGTAACTCGAGGAGAAGTGATGTATCCGGCTCGCATTACTGAGACGGAAATGAGTACACCTGTGGCACCTGCTCCTTGCCGTCCATTGGTCGGTATTTTTTGTGGTCGGAGTACCATATGTGTTGGTAGAGTGTATCGACCCCTTTATCGGGTCTGAGAGCTTAAGTAGTTTGAATGGTTCGTTGCCTTTTACCTTTGAATATTCCAACGTTTTCGTTTCGATCAGTATTGAAGTGGTAGAGATACAACCGCCAATCCAACCCCCCACGACCAAGGCCATTTCAACCACCTAGCACCAATGCACCCAACGCCCGAAAAGAACCAAGACATCCAACACCAAAACACCCTCCCCCACGAAAAACTGCCAATCCAACCCCCCAACCTTTGTCATCAACCGTGTCACCCCTTCCCCCACTACCTCGTTTCCTTATTTGCCATCGCTATTGCATGATGACGGGCTTCATAACGCATGAAATCAACTATTGTAGTTAAAAGAGACAAATACATTCATTATTTATTGACTTTAGAGTGCAAAACACTACAGACGAGGATCCACACACTGCACTAAACCAACGGTTAGGAGGTCAAGCTGGCTTTGAGTTCCTCTTTGGTCATGCCGCTGAGGCGGGCAATAGTGGTGTCGGCTCCGTCCGAAATATAGTTGCACCAGACAAAGTTGCCATCTCCACATTCGCTCCAGCCACACCCAATGGCGGTGTTTTTCAAGTTCATCAAGTTCGCAAAGTGGCCGCATTCCAACCACTTTCCGTTGCATTTGTTGGTGTCGTAGTTCCATTTCTTTTCTTCCACCATATACCACATCCACGCGGCTCCCGCCTTCTTCAAGCAGTTGGTGTCCTTCTTGCCAGGTCCGCATGAGTCGTAGGTCGCCAAGTTTTGGTTTCCGTCCACGCCGCCGTGATGGAACCCAGGGCACGTCGAGGCATATCTTTGCAACCGTCCTGCCAACTCTTCGTCCCATACCACAGGGCCGACCTTATGCGCTGCTCGGATTTTGTTGGTTTGGTACAGCAATTGATCTTTCATGCCCATGCCAGTCGGGGGCGCTAACGATGAAGGGGACGGATACGGAGATGGCGTGCCGGTCGATGGGGTCGAGGGGGACGGAGGAGAGTCGGTTGGTTTGGGGGGAATCGATGTCATTGGTTTTCTGGAAGTGCGAGGTTTTCTGGATGTGCGAGGACGGCGCGTGCAACGACGCTTGGTCGTAGTCGGGGTGCTCGGCCTGGGAGTTGACGGGGCAGACGCTGACGTCGCAGGGGTGTTGGATGAAGGCT